CCGTCGGCCCTCCTGCTCGTGTCCGCCTTGATCCGCTCTCGCTGCTGCCTCCTTTCCACCCCCCACCCCCGGGTCCTGTGCCCCACAGCGGAGCCCAGGTGTAACTCGCTTCTCCACCATACGTCTGGTGTCTCCCGTCCCCGCCTCCCGACATGCCCGCTGAGAAAAAAAAACAACTTCGAGCCAACATACACAGCACCCCAGACTAGTGGGGGGATGGGACGCCAGCACCGACCAGCTCTCCCCACACAAGAGCCTGCCGGTGACGAACACACTGCCGGGCTCCATACGCACTCTTTGCCCCCTCTCGGGCTTTCCTCCTGCATGGTCGACACTCACCTTTGAAGCCTTCGACGCCCCCCCGCCCCCCTCGCCACTTCTGGACTTACTCCTTCGTCCTCGTCCCGTCGATCGCAGTTCACCCTTCGCCGGCTGAATCGGCGAGGGCGGCGCGCGGGCATCTGCGAGACACACGCCGCACAAAGAGGTCACATGAGGAACACACCATACCGAAATACAAACTCAACATCACTTAATCAACATGTAATGACATAAATATGTCACATGAACAACCAACTCGCCGAGCGAACGGCGTGCCCTTTTCCGCCCCGAAGCCCGCATGGCGGCTGCCACTTTTCCAAACTTCCATCCTCCCTGGGACTGGACCAGGACGGATGAGCGGGGGGTGTTGCGCCGACACGCGCCCGCGCGTCCCTGCGAGCGCGTGGTCCCCGAATGTCTCTTTTCCGCGGGCCCCGAGGCTGGGCACCCTTTTCTAGCAAGTCCCTTGCCCCCCCCCCCCCCCCCCCCCCCCCCCCTCCGCCGCGCGCACCCGCCCGCCCCCGCCGCCCCCCCAGCATTCGTGTCGAGCCCAGAGAGCGCCCTGGGCAGAGCAAGAATGGGGGAGTGCAGAATGCCCCCTCTCTCGCGCGCGCGCGCATGCGTCCACGCGTCCACGCGTCCGCAACAGGGCCCAAACTCCTGGGAGAGGGGGGAGCCGGCCACAGCCCCGGATCCCCCATCCTTGATCGGATCTTCCACACCCCCCCCCCCCCACACTCGCCGCCCCCCCTCCCGAGAGCCTATTCGGCCCGTCGAAGCAACAATAGAGTGGGTCTTTTTCAGGCCGTGCACCATCTTTAGCCGCAAGCCGGCCCTCAGACCTACCCCGACACCACCTCCACCTCGTTGGCTCATCCATCCAACCTCATTGTGCTTTTTTCCCCCTCCCCTCCCCCATACACACACACACACACACGCACATCGCCCCTCTCCCCCCCGTTCGAGCGCCGCCACCCGCCCTTCCCCATCATGGCTCCTCGCCAGCAAGACAAGGTAGATCTCTCTCTCTCCCTCTCCCTCTCTCTTTCTCCCTCTCTCTTTCTCCCGGCCTTTCTGCGTGCTCCCCGTCTCCTCCATCTCCCACTCGGTCACTCACCCCCCCCCCTCCTCTCTCCCTTTCTTTGTCCTCCTGTCCCACCCTCCTCCCGCAGGCCAAGAGCGTGGCCGCCCCGGGCAAGACGAAGTCCGCGAGCGCCGCCACCGCGGTGACCAAGCAGCACAAGAAGGCTGACAAGTCGCAGCACAAGAAGAAGCTCCTCGCTGCGGCTGCCGAGAAGAAGGCCAAGCAGGCCGCCAAGCAGGAGGCTGCCGGCGCCGCGGACGCCGGCGCCGCCGAGGAGAAGCCGGCTCCCACCATCAAGTTCACCCCCTCGGACACCTTCCAGAAGGCCTCGGCCTCCGGTTTGGTGGAGCTCCTTGGGCAGTTCGTCGATGCAGGCTCCAAGGCCCCCGCCAAGATCCCGGGTCTCTCCAAGGCCATTCTCGCCAAGGCGGCGCAGGTCCAGCCTGCGACTGAGGTGCGTGCCGATCCCGCCCCCTCCCCCCCTCTCCCGTTGTGTTTGTGCCCTTTTGTCTCCCTCCCCTCTCCCTCTGCCCCCGCTGACATCGTTCGCCCCCCCCCCCCCTCCCCCTCCCCCCCCCCCCAACCCCACCGACGAGATGGCCTACCTCCTGCGACGCTGCATCCGTGGTCTGGCCTCGTCCGAGGTGACCCTGCGCGGGCACTTCGCCGAGCTGCTGGTCCAGCTGACCGGCGCCCATGCGCAGGCCCTCACCTTCGCCACTTTCGCCGACCTGGCCGAACAGAACCTCAACACCCGGACCTCGGAGATCCGCGACACGGTCCTCACGCCGGCCCTCTGTCTCCTGACGACGGTTCTCCTCCGGACCGGGCTCCTCTTCGCCACGCCCGAGGGCTTCACCGCCTGTCTGGATCGCCTGCGCGAGCTCTTCACTCCGAAGCGTGCCACCCGGCAGGACGTCATGCCCGTGTACCAGGCCATCCTGGCCGAGTGCCTGTCGGCCAACGGGGCCGAGGATGATGACCCCCGCGCGGCTCTTCTGCCGGTGCTGCTCGAGCACCTGGCCGCCCTGGTCCGCCTGGACGTCCTGAGCCCGGAGCTCATTGCACTTGCGGTGCAGCTGACCGACCATGCGGCCGCCGGGGTGCTGACTCTGCCGGCCAAGGCCAACCTCTTCCCGCAGCCCACCTGGGCCGCCAAGACCGCCGGCTGCCTGGCGCACCCGTCCAACATTGACCTGGCCATCATGGTCATCCTGGACGACACGCAGGTGTGCCTGAACATCGAGCACCCGCTGTGGCGCGCGCTGGCCAACAACTTTGCCCGGCGCAGCAACGGCCCGAAGGCCGTGTCCTGGGTGACGCACAGCTTTGCCGCCTTCTGGTCGAAGATCTTCGAGCAGGGTCTCCTCCAGGTGGAGAACTACACCAAGCTCGAGCTGGCGCTGACCTTCGTGGCGCAGCTGGCCGCGGCCGGTGCCTCCGGTAGCGTCCTCTTCCAGGCCCTCTCGCCGAACCTGGTCTACCAGTTCCGCCGGGCTCTGGTCACCACCAAGAAGCCGATCCATGCCCCGGCCATGGCGCTGGTGCGTTTGTGCCTCTTTTTTCCTTCTTTCTCCCGCCCTCTCTCTTTCTCACACATGCCCACCCACAACCTCCCTCTCTCTCTCTCTCTCTCTTTCTTTATTTCTTTCTCTCTCTCTTTCTCTCTTTATTTATTTATTTATTTCCCTCTCCCTCTCTTTCCCTCTCCCCCCCTCTCTTTCCCTCCCCCCCCTATCTCTCTCTCTCTCCCTCTCTCCCTCTCTCTCTTCCTCTTCCTCTCCCCTGCCCTCCCTTCTTTGCCAGATGAATGCCCTGATTGCTCGCTGTGCTGGTGATGTGGAGCTTACCCTGCAGATGTCCTTCTGGACGGTGCATGCGTACCTCCCGCGCGCCTTCTCCACCGCGGCCAAGAAGCAGCTGCTGTCCTTCCTGTATGCGGCGCTCCCCAACCGGGTCGCCCTGCTTGCCCGGCTTCAGGAGCTCTTCTACGACCCGCGCCCCCTGCTGGCTCGTTACCTTCAGGCCACCGGCGGGCAGAGCCGCAAGTCCTCGGCCGCCGAGGAGGCCGCCAACCCGGCCCTCGCGGCCGAGGCCGCCGCCTCCGCCCAATCCCAGGAGGCACACCTGGCCAACAGCCTGCGTCTCTTCCTGCTGGATCACATGCAGATGATCCTGCGCCAGTCCGACAGTGTCAGCACCCTGGTCGAGCCGCTGCTCAGCCTGGCCCTGTGTGTTGGTCACTTCCAGGTCAGCCCCGAGGCCAGCCTCAGCAGCGAGGGGAGCCTGGCGGTGCCGGCCGCCCTGCAGGCCGAGGCCACTCGGCCGGCCCCGACCCCGGCCTTTGATGCCCGGGTGCGGTCCGTTTCGCGGACCGCCCTGTCGGCCCTGCTCTTCGCCGGGTGCCAGCTGGCCCCGGGGCAGGCGACCGCCGCCCCCCCTGCCGCCAGTGGCGGCCCCGCTGGCCATGTGACCCTGTCCAGCAAGCTCGAGGCCAGCATCCGGCTGATGCGTCTCGTGGGCGACGGGTTCATGGCGCTGGCCGGTGCCACGGCCGGCGTCGTGAAGCTGGCCCGGCCGACCGATGAGCTGGCTGTGCCGGAGCCGGCGGTCGACCCGGCTGACGAGGTGGCCGCCCTGGTCGAGGCCCATGGGCTGCTGACTGCCAGCCTGGCCGCCGTGGCCAAGCAGCGCGGCCAGCTGGCCGCCGATGATGCCACCAGCCCGGCGTACCTGACCGTGTTCGAGCTCCTGGCGCGGACTTTCTTCTTCCAGGTGTTGGTGGGCGAGCTGCCGATCGAGGGGTTCACCGATCAGCTGAGCGATCTGGACCAGGCTCGGGCGGCGCTCTTCCCCAAGCCCTCTGGCCGGGGGAAGGCCCCGCTGGCGGTGTCCCTGGGTGCCGTGGCCGCGGGCCAGCCGAGCCCGGTGGCTGTCGTGGTGGACATGCTGCTGGCCATCCTGATGCAGCCGAGCCAGCTGCTGCGTCTGATTGCGCAGCACTCTTCCGATGTCTTCTCGCAGAGCTGCGACTCGGAGTCGGTGCAGCTGCTGGCCAATGTGCTGGCTGCCTCCACGGGATCGCTGGTCGATGGCGAAGGGGCGGAGGATGCCGAGGATGACATCCCCGAGGATGAGGAGATGTCTGACGGCGAGGCGGCCAGCGATGGCTCCGACTCGGATGGTGCTTCCGATGCTTCGGACAGCTCCGACGATGAGGACGAGGATGATGACGATGAGGACGACGACGACCTGGAGTCCAATCGCCTGGAGCTGACCCCGGAAATGCGGAGCCTCCTGACCGGGAGCCGCGCTGCCGGCGATTCGAAGATGGCCGACGCATCGGGCTCCTCCGACTCCGGTTCCGGCTCCGAGGGCGAGGACGAGGACGAGGACGACGAGGTGGCCGATGATGAGCAGATGTTCGCCATCGAGCATCAGCTCCGCAAGATGTTCAAGCTGCGCCGCCTGCAGGCGCAGGCTGAACGCAAGAAGACCCGCATCTCGCAGGACTTCCAGATCAAGGTCCTCTCCTTTGTGGACACCATCATCTCGCACACTCGCAAGCCGGAGCCGGTTGCCGAGCTGCTGCCGATCGTCACGCGCCTGGCCCTGGGCACCAACACTCCGGAGGTATGTCGGGGGCTTTCCTGCTTTTCTGGCTCCTTTCCCTTCGCCCCCCCCCCCTCTCCCCCTGTGCTGCCCTTCCCGTTGGATGGTGTTCTGACTTTGCTGGTCTTTCTCCTTCGTGCTTCCCCTTCTTCTCCGGGTGGGGTAGTTGCTGTCCCGTGCGGCGCAGACCCTCGGCAAGTTTGGGCAGTTCCGCCCGAGCAAGGAAATCGAGCAGGAGGATCTGCGCGCGCGTCTTGTCGAGCAGCTGGATGACTATGCCAAGTCCATCCGGACCATCAAGAACACCACCACGTCGGTCTCCCTGCAGGATCTCCTGTCCATTGCCTTTGTCACGACAGTGCGTCTGCTGGATGTGTCTGCCTCGACCGGTGGCAAGGCCGCGGACTCGTCCAGCCCGCTGGGCATGGCCCAGGGTCTGGTCCTCGACCTGGCCAGCCAGGGCGAGGTCAACAGCGTGGTGGAGGACTTTGTGGCATTCACCGTCCAGCGCCTGTCGGTGCTGGCTGGGCCGGTGCTGGCCGGTGTTGCTGAGCAGCTGGCCGCCGCGGCTGCCGCCAAGTCCACGCGTGACCTGCACCGGCATCTGCGCTTTGCCGAGAAGCTCCTGCTGAACTTGTCGGTGCGTGAGAGAAGGACAAGTGAGCGAGAGGTGTCTCTCCTGCCTCACGCGGTCCCGTGTCTCCTTCCCTCGCTCTGTTCCCTTTCATGATGCTTGGCTGACCTTCCTCCTTCCGCAGGGCGCCGACCACTATGCCCCTCTTGTCAGCAAGTTTGTGCTCGCCGCGCGCGACATCATCCAGATGCTGGCCGACAATGAGGACATCTCCAAGAACTGGTTCCACACTCGGACTCTGCTGCAGCTGCTGAACACCATCCTGCGTCGCTTCCGCCGGAACCTGCCCGAGGACGAGGTATGTGCCCCCCTATCTCGTCCCCTTTGCTCTCTCCCTCCCTCTGTCCATGTTCTTTTTTGCTTTTGTGAATCACCGCGCTCCCTCCCCGCCCCCCTGGCGGGTGTGCACAGGCGGCAGGCCAGGAGCGACGAGAGGAGCCATGTGCCATTCATCATACTGGCGCATCCTCAAGGCCGGTGTTTTTTTTTTCCCCTCTTCGCACCATCCCAGTTGCCTTCTTTCTGCTGTCTCTCTCTCTCTCTCTTCCCTCCCCACCTGTCGCCCCTTGTGTATTGCTCTTGGCTGTCGCTAACTTCGTCATATGGGATTGTGTCAATTTGCGCAGATCTTTGCCAAGGAGCTTCACACTGCTCTGGATGGGACCCTGTCTAATGTCGCCCTGTTGGCCCGGTGCCCTCAGTGGCGTTCCATGATCCTGAACATCCTGGAGGGTGTCGGCCTGAAGTCTACCGTCATCGTGGTCGGCAAGCGGTCGCCCAAGTCTCTGGTCCAGAAGGCTTCCACTGGCGGGGTTGTTGTCGCCGCTGCCGATGTTCAGAACCTCCGGAAGCAGGGTCGCAAGGAGCGCCGCCGCCAGGCGGCTCAGGCCAAGCGTCAGACCACCGCCGAAGAGGCCGAGTCCAAGAAGCGCACGCGCTCTGAGGACGAGGATACCAAGGTGGAGGAGGGTGCCAAGCCCGCTGATGAGGATGCCAAGAAGGACGCCAAGAAGGACGCCAAGAAGGACGCCAAGAAGGACGCCAAGAAGGAGGCCGAGAAGGACACCAAGACCGACGCCCCGTCTAAACGCCGCCGCATTGCCGATGGCAAGAAGTAGGTGGTCACACCCTCCTATGGTTGTTTCCCCTCCCCCCCCCTCTCTCTCTCTCTCTCTCCCTCTCTCTTCCTCATGCACGGATGCCCCCTTTACCGGGCTCGGTTTTGTCATTTGTGTGATTTGCTGAGGAACTGCCGCGCTGAATCATGTTATGCCCTTATTCCTCGGTCTTCCTCTCCCTCTGACGATACTGCACGACACGCGCCCCCAGAGGCCGGGGCTAGTGCAGCGAGCGAGGAAGTGCCATGGTGCCACTTCTGCCGCTGTTCTCGCCACTTTTTCGCCGGGTGCCAGATAGGGCGGCGAGAGGGAGAGGGGGGCCGATCAGAGAGACAGAGAGAGAGGTCATCAAACACAGCCACACACACACACCCCTGCGTGGTCTTCAGCCGAAAAAAAGAAAAAGACCCGGCCCCGCCCGGCTGGTTAAGGCTCCCTCCTTGTAACCCAAATAGATGAACTCAACTGTCCTTATGGTCGTGATCGAGGCCCCTGGAGGCGTGATACGGCCGCCCGAGGGCAGAGCAAAGCCGCGCTCTTGTCCGGGGGCGGGGGCGGGGGGGATTGTGCTGGATGCACTCTCAGGGACGTCTCTTCCCGACGAGCTCGCTCAAGACCCGCCCCCCCCCCCCCCCCCCCCACCCGGAAAAGGGCGGGAGGGGAGCCACGCTACGGAGTGGGCCGGTGCCAGGGGCCGCGGGGATGGTAGCCTTTGTGTGGGGCTTATGTGTGGCGTGCCGGGGCGGGAGGAAGGGGGGGACGTCTGCAGGAGCATTTTGGGAGGGGCAAAATTGTCGACGGCCCTGGCACCCCGTGTCGGGAAGGGCGGCCCCCGGTGGCGACTAAGGTGTACTTTTCGTGTGGCCTTCATTGGCCTACGGCTGTCCGGAGGGTGGCCGAAAATTTGGAGCTCGGCAGGAGGCTGCGTCACGCCCCTCGGGAATGAGAAGGCTGGAGCATGGCTTTCGGGAGTGGCGGCCGACTGGAGGAGTGCGACGGCTTCACGCCGCCGGCCTCACACGTGGAGAGGGGGTCTACGTTTCTCGCCATCTGCCTCTGCCTTCCCTCAAAGAAGACGGAGGACATCCAGGTCCCCGGGCCACGGGGGAGGTGTGGGGGGCGGGGGCAATTGTTCAGCGACCGTGTGTAAGCTGGGGCTTGGCTGGCGTGTGCGCCTGTGTCCGCAAGTATGTGTGTGTGTGTGTATATGTGTATGTGTGTGTATCTCTGTGTGTGTGTGTGTGTGTGTGAGTATGTGTCACCGACTGGGGAATGCCTCCACTCCGGGGGGTGTTTCGCCCGTCCCGTGGTCACTTTGCCAAGACTACGCGTTGGAGCGGGAGCGAGGGCGGTTGTGCCGCTGTCCGCTTGGCTCGGGGATAACTGTTCCTCCGCAAGCCAGTCCGCCACAAGAGGGAGTCCCTGGGGGTGGCCCGGCTTGGGGAGGCCCGGCATCCAACGCCTTCCTCTGGAGGGCGGGGGCGGGGCCCCATGGCGTGCCGAGGCGGCGGGCACGAAGACTGGTCAGCGTGCCCGGGAAACAACTATATTCAAAATCCGTCTTGCCCAAGCCTCGGGCTTTCCCGCTTACCGGGGAGGAGGCTGTTGGAATCCCCCGCTCGAGCCTCGTTCGCCGCGGCTTTTGCGCTCGCACGGCCTCTAAGGCGGCGCATCAGCGCCCCCGCCCCTTTTTCCCCGGGTGGAACCGGCTGGCAGGCAGGGGCGATGTGAGTCGGGCGGGATAGGCGCGGTGCGCATGGCCCCGGCCCCGGTCCCTTGGCGGTCCGGTGGTTTCACTGTTTTCGGGTGTCCTCACCTTGGGTGAATGAGAAACGCAGGCGGGGCGCTGCGGGCGCCAAGAGGCATGCCTCGTGTCGGGGGAGACCGGCGACAATTACCATGCTCCCCCGGGGGCGCGGCCCGGGGGGGGGGGAGCGGGGGCGGGGGGCAGGGCTAATTGCACCCGCGGCAGGCCTCTCGGCGACCTCAACCGCGCGTCAACCTTTGGCGCTTGGGCCGTGGCGCGCGCTGGATTCTTTGGCGGGCGGCCCTAATGGCGGACCTTTTCCTCGGCTGTGCCTGAGCAAGGCGGGCAGGTGGCCGGAGAGAGCGCGCGCGCGCGCTCAGCTGTATTGGGTCCCGATGCGCAGGTGCCCGCTTGTCGGTGTTGTTGTCCATGTGAGCGTCCGAAAGGGAGGCTCGACACCCGGAGGGCGGCGTGGCAACGCGTCCTCCTTTGGACCGAGGACCCCTGTCCGTCGCAGAGGTGGACCTTCGGGGGGGGGGGGGGCACTCGGCTCGGCCCTGGGCGGCAGGTGGGGGGCCGGGGCCGGCGGGCGAGGACCGCTTGCCGGCTGTTTTCCCCCTCAGGGCGGTGGCAAAAAGAGGCGCCGGACCATCTCAAGCAAACGCCCACCCTGGTGTCCATATTTTGCGGAGGGCATGCGTCCACGCAGACCCGCGCCGGTGCACACACGGAGAGTGGCGCGGCGTGCTCGGGGGGGGGGGGGGGGGGGGGGGGGGGGGGGCAGCCGGCCCTAGGGCAGCCGCTGGGGTGGGGGGGGAGGCGAAAGGCCGGCACGGCGCAGGTCGTGCATCGGAAGACATGCCCGGGGGGGGGGGGGTCTGCGAGGGGCCCGGGTCTCGGGGGTCGCCGCGAGTGAGACCTCCCTTGCCGGCCTTCCTTTTCCGGCCGCACGGGGAGATACCCCCCTGCGGGGTGAGGGTGGTGTGCGGCCGTGTTGTGGCAGGGGTTGCTGCTTGTGGCCTTGCTCCGGGCATGCCGCGCGCCCTACCGCGGGCCGGGAGGCGCGCCCTCGGTGCGCAGATTAAGAGATTGTCCAAGAGCATGGGAACCGGGCCGTGGGCGGATTGCGCGATTGCCGCGGGCGCGCCCAGGCCACGGCGCTATCTCCCTCGGGCCCTGGGCGGGCCGACCTCGGTACTTGGCCCTGCGCCGGGCCTGGAGTCCCGGCAAACTTGCGCCCGGCCGCGGGCGGCTCCGACATGTCGGTGCGCGTGCGTGTGTCTCTCTGTGTACATGGGGGGCGGGAGTCTGAAGGCGCCAGTCGGGCACAGTCGAGAGGGCCGGGGCCGGTGGTGGGAAGGGGCTCCTGACGGACACGATCCCCGCCAGCCGCCGGGGCCGACGCGCCCGAGAGATCGGCCAAACGACCGGCCGTTCTCCGCCGGCCGGGGGGGGGGGGGGGGGGCGGGGACAGCGGGCCTGGACCGGATGCGTGACCTCGTCGTCGGCCCACCCTCTGGGGGGCGCCGCCTCCACCCCGGACCCTGGGGGCTCCCAATGTACGTCTCCGCCGGGGCCTCGGTCACGGAACGACGAGGGGCGATGGACGAGGAAATGCATTTATGCCCACGGAGACGGGGTAAACACAGGGCTGCTCCCGCGCGGCATTGGGGCGTCGCCCCCGGTCGACCGTCGCGATAGTCGGCCCGGTGTTTATATTAAGCCGGAGGGCGGGCCGGCGGCGGTGGGGGACTCCTTTTTGTACGTCCGCCAGCACGGCATCCGCCGGCGTAGGGGGGGGGGGCGACCGATGGCCGCCTTGATCCGACGGCCGCATCACCGGTCTTCCTTCTCGACACACCGCGCCCGGGCCCCGGGGTCCGGCTAGAAGTCGCGGAGCCGGAGCCCGTGCCCGGAGAAATAGGCCCCCCCCCCCGCCCCGCCTCGGCCTCTGGGCGCCGAAGAGGGTGGCCCCCACATCTCCGCCGCCCGGGGCCCGTGGGCGTGCGCTGGTATTTCTGCGTGCGCGGAAAAAGCACGCCCGCGCAGCTGGGGCCCGAAGGCATTATCACCCGGCGGGGATTCGCGGCGACGCGCCGGCGTGGGGGGTCTCCTGCGTCCTCCACACGGGGCACGGCGCGCGCCCACATGAGCCGGCCAGCCAGCCAGCCAGCCAGCCAGTGTGCCCTCCAGCCAGGGTGGGATACAGGATGACTCTTTTTCATTTCGCCCACCGCCGGGGAATATTCCGTCGTCCCACCAACCGCCGGGGCCCTCGCCGCCCCCCCCCCCCCCCCCCCGAGGCTTTCTCGCACGTTTCCCCCCGTCTGGGGCGGCCGCGTTCAGGTGCTCCCCGGGCCGGGTGGGGGCAGAGCCCGTGTGCTCCGCGACTCGCCTGCCTGGATGTTTGCCGCGGGCCGCCGGCCACATTCTGAGCGCGGGAGGGGGAGCACTCGGGCGGGGGGGGGGGGGAACGGCCGGAGAGGGGCGCGTTTAGAATCCACCGAGGAATGCCCAGCCAGATGTGCCCGGTTTGTGCGCAGCCCCCCGGGCCCGGCTGGCCGAATCGCACCAGCGATCTGGCCTGATGTGTTCGGCCACGGCCCCCGCCACCCGGCTTCCGGCCAGGACAAGGTAGGATGACCGCCATAATCGGCATCCTAACTTCCCGCGTTTTTGGGCACCCTTGGCCGGATCGGCGCCGCCCGGCGGCTTTCCTCGGACACAGTCGTTCCCGGAACCGGCTGTTGGCCTCTTCGTTGAGTCCTCCCTGTCCCCCCCCCCGCCCCCCCTTTGGGCCGCCCCCCGGGGAGGAGGGGGCGGGCGACTTCGGGCCCGCTCAAGCCGCGCTCTTCTCGCAGCAGTGCCCAGGGAAGAGATCAGATAAGACAAAGTCGGAGAAAGATGGTGATTTGATGTGTGCCCGCGGCCCGGCCGAACTGCCGAGCCAGCCGCCGGCCGGCCTTGCCCAGGAAGGCTCTCGGCGCCCTGCCCTGCCCTGCCCTGCCCCCCCCCCCCCGTCTCCCGGGCTAACACCGGGTGTGCCTATGCACCCCGGCTCCGAGCCCCCGAGTCCGAGGCAATGCGGCGCCGAGCGAACAGTTCCAGCACCGAGCTATAGTCCTCCCTCTTCTCTCTCTCTCTCTCTCTCTTGCTCGGATGTTTGCCCTGTCTTGCCCCTGGGAAAGCTGATGCCTGGGAATCGTGGCATCTGAAGGGGATGCCTTGGCCGTTTCCCATTGCAGGCGACCCTGGCCATTGCACGGCGAGGCGCGGCGGGTGTGGATGTATTCACTCTCCCTCCGCTGGTCCGCCGCCGCCGCGCATGCTGGACCGGAAGTGTGTGTGTGCGTGTGTGTGCGCATGTGTAGGACCGGGGCGGGGGCGGGGGCGGGGGCGGGGGCGAGGCGGGCGGAGGCCCCGGGACGCGTCCCCCGCCCCCCGCGAGCCCGTCCCAGGGGTGTATGGCCCCTCCTCAGCGCCTCCCCCCGCTCCTCTCGAGCCTCAAAAAACACCCCCTTCAAGACGTCGCTCCTTCGACCGGGACAGATGCTTTTCCCCCTCCCCCTCCCCCCCCCTGAAGAGAGCGCCCCACTCCTTCCTCGTCCCTTCCTCCGCCGCCGCTCTTTCTAACCAGCGCGAGCATGGCCATCCTTCGCCTCGCCGGGTCGCTTCTGACCCTGGGCCTTTCCCTGGCCGCCGGCCTCGGCTCCGCGGCCCCGGTCCCGGTGTCCGCCGACATCGCCGACCAGCGCTCCTGGTATGCCCTGTCGACCAACGGCGCTTCCGTCGTTGGCGGTGGCTTTGACCTGGAGTACCTCGTCTCCAACACCGACCTTCGCGGTGTCTACGTACGTGTGCCCTAGTCTCCCCCCCCCCTCCCCCCCTCGCCGCCACTCAACGTCCACAATGATCCGCGCCTCCTCCCCCTCCTGCTCTGCCCGGTTTCCGACTGCTCACCTCGATGCCTTGCTGCTGTCCCCCCTTGCTCCCGTGTCTGGTCGCGCGCGCCGGCCCCCCCCCCCCCACCCTACACAGGGCCGTGATGAGCGCTTTGCCCTCGTGGTCGACACCCCCTCCGGCATTGACCGCCTGATGGACGCCGGTGACATGAAGGCCGTTCGCCTGTCGGACTTCGCCGACGCCGAGGAGGCCTACACCGACCAGGCCTCCCCCCTGTACGACATGCATGTGGTCCAGTGCTCCTCGCCGGAGCAGTTCCGCCAGCTGCGCGCCCTGACGGCCGAGATCGCCACCGAGCGCCAGCGCCGCGCCGATGACGGCCTCGATTCGTACGACTTCGCCGCCGACCTGGTTCACCTGTCCCCCCGGTATGATGTCCTGGTGTACCGGACCCCGGCCGGCCGGCCGCTCGATGCTCGCATCGACCCGCACATCTACGAGGTCATGCGCGCCGGTCGCCGCACCATGCGCATCCCCCCCCGGACCTTCAAGCAGAGCCCCGCCTACAACCATGTGAAGCTCTACTCGCCGATCATCGAGCAGGCCGTCAACAGCGTCAACACCGGCAACCTGCGCAACGTCGTGCAGCACCTGTCCGAGAAGTACCACACCCGCCACTCCATGTCCCGCGGTGCCGTCGATGCCCAGGCGTACCTGGCCTCGCGCCTGCAGTCCATGGGCCTGAGCGTCAGCCTGCAGCAGTTCAAGGAGGGCTACTCGCGCAATGTCATCGGCGAGCTGCGCGGCGCCCAGGAGCCCGACCAGATCGTCGTCATCGGTGCCCACTATGACTCCCGCATGAACGATGTCAATGACCCGCTCAGCCGGGCGCCCGGTGCCGATGACAATGCCTCCGGCTCCTCGGCCCTGATGGAGCTGGCTCGCATCTTCACCAGCAACAACGCCACCTACCACTACACCGTGCGCTTCGTCTTCTTCAGCGGCGAGGAGCAGGGCCTCTACGGTTCGGAGGCCTACGCCAACTCGCTGGCCGCCGCCGGTGAGAATGTCATCGCCATGTTCAATGCCGACATGCTGGGCTACCGTGTTCCTGGCACCCCGATCACTCTGGGCATGAAGGACCGCTACATCACCGAGTGGCTGCTGGCCGTTGCCGAGGACATCATGGCCGTCTATGTGCCCAACCTGCCGGTTTCGCGCAGCTCCTCCTGCTGCTCGGACTACCGCTCCTTCTACTATGCCGGCTACCCGGCCATCGGCTTCTTCGAGAACCCCACCACCGCCTCCACCTACCCGCAGTACCACACTTCGGATGATGTCATGGCCAACCTGGACTTCGAGCAGCTGACCATGGAGACCAAGGCCTTCCTGGCCACTGCCATGACTTTCGCCGTGCCCCGGTAAGCAGCCGGCTACCCTCGTGCGGCAGTCTCTCTCTCTCTCCCCCTCCCTCCCTCCCTCTCCCTCCTCCATAACCACGAAGGCGGCGGATGAGGGGGGGGGGGCCTCAACCCACTGAACGTTTCCTCCGGCCGGGGA